CCCCCCAACTTCCCTACAGACCTTCCCAACCCTCTACCCCACTAAAGACCCCGCTGCCAGCCAGCCTTTCCCCGGCGCTCTGGGGCTGGGAGGCCCTGGACCAGCATCTGGAAGAACGCGGAGATGGGACCTTTGGTGAAGACTGAGGGGCTGGGACCCCGGGCGGGAGCGGGGTAGGTGCCTGAGATCGGGGCTGGGAGGCAGGGAGCTGGGGTCAGGCGCCGTCCGAGGCGTGGGGGGCGGGGAGGTGCTCACCCAGGTACTGGCCCTTGCCCTCGCGGAAGGGCGGCCCCACGGGTCCTTTGTGCATCGGCTGCACGTACTTCACCGGCGCGTAGCCCGCCGCCCCGCCGGCCCCGCCGCAGGTGGCTGCCCGCGGCCCGCACCCCAGCACCAGCNACCCCAGCACCAGCAGCAGCAGCAGCAGAGGTGGTGGCACAGACAGGGGCGTCAGAGCCCCCCGCATGGCGTCCGCGAGCGTGCTGCAGGGGGAACCGAGACGGGCCATCAAGCCAGCCCCTGGGTGGTTTGGCACCAGGCCCAGGGATTCACAGAGCGATCAGAATTTAGATACTATTCACAAGCAATTCCCAAAGTCTGCGAATCTGCGCAAGTTATCCCCTGAACCTCCCTTAAGCCTGCCCACGGTTCTCCAACCCCACGGCTGCCTCAGGCCCCCTCCCCCGGACAACAGCCTCCCCCAGACCAGTCACTCTGCAGCCAGACACCCTTCCAGGGCACAGATCTGACCTTGATAGCCGTCGCTCAACACCCTTTGATAATGATAGTGCCCACTACTATTTGCTGGGCTGGTGCTCTGCCAGGCACTGGGATGAGCTCTCCAGAGATTGGAACTCAATCCCCCCAACACTTTAAACAAGGTATTATTCTTGTCATCTGCATTTGCCAGATAGCAAAACTAAAGCAAAGGTCTCTTGGAAGCAGAACTGGGATTTGCCTTAGATCTGTCTTGCTCCACATGATGTCGGTGCCCATCTGGGGCTCCCCACTGCCTTCAGGGTCAAGACCATGTGCTCAGCATGGCATTCAAGACTTTTTTTTTTCCAAGATGGGAATTTTTATTTTTATTGATAAACCATGATTTCCTATTGGATACGTAATATAGAACAATTAACAATAACCTAACATTTAAAATTTTAACTTTCAGAATCACCTTGATCAATATACAAAGCTTTAGTTAGTTTCTGGGAAAATAATGTTTCATTTCAACAGTATTCTTCTCATATGCAGAACAGCTTCTCAAAATTGGGAATTTATGAATAACACTTTATAAAGCTTCCTGTGTGCAAAAGAAATTGACTACCACATCAACTGCACCCTTTTAAAAATCCAAAACATAAAGGCTGGAAGGACCTGGATAAAGCCACATCCTAGTGAAGCTATCAAGGATCTACAGCTGGAACATGGAACCACCCTCTGCCACTGACTCAATCCACTGGGCAGAAGAGTGGTAAATCGTGGCCCCATGTCAACATGAGATGGACTTGTTCTTAAATAGGTAGCAACACACATATCAGTTTCATCCCTACTACAGAGACACATGCAAACAACGTACAGATGTCCTTTAAGGGAGAAACTCAGAAACCATCCAGGAAACATCTGTTTTCCTTTGTTACAACTGAAGTGAAAATGACCATATTTTATGGAACGATGTGATGTGGCACTGTCTTTCAACAAAGCACATGAAAAATATAACTCACTGGCTAGAAATAGTTTTGAAATAAATCTACTCTCACTAATATATACTTAATTAAAAATGTGTATCTATGCTTGGTTTCCATGAAGACAGTAGGATACAAAGGCCTTTTAAATCTAATCTGTGCCTGTGCCTCCAACCCTGTCACCTACCAGGCCTTTCTCTGCTTCTCCCCTCCCCCAGACCTCTGCCCCAATAGCACAGAGCTCCTTAAGGCTCCCAGACACCAGCATCTTCACATCTCTAGGCCTCTGCACCTGCCATTTCTCCACATGCAATGCTCTTTCCCTCTCCTACTCATCCTCCAAGGCACCGGGAAGCTGTCGCCCCTTCCTCCGTAAAGTTAACCCCTCACTCCTTTTTGTCCCAACCTAGCTCTTTCGCAGCATTTAGCTCAGCTCCTGGGTGGGGAGAAGCACAGGCTCTAGATTGGGACAGTCAGCCTGAGTCTTCCACTCACCAGCCAGGGGAGGCTTAGGCAAGAGGTTTCCACTCTGTGAACCTGTTTCCTTATCTGTAAGATGTGTCCACACAAAACGGTGTGCCTGAATGTTCATAGCAGCATTACTCATAACAGCCATAAAGTAGAAATAACACAGATGTGCCTCAACTCCTGAATGGATAAAGGGTGGTATAGCCATACAATGGACTATTATGCAGCAATGAAAAGAAATGGAGTACTGATAACATGCTACAATACAGATGAATCTAGAAATAAAGCATTACGCTAAGTGGAGACCAGTCACAAAATCGTATTATATGATTTAATTTATACGAAGTGTCCAAAATAGGTAAATCTACAGAGATGAAAAGTAGATTAGTGGCTGCCTTGGGTCGGGGTAGGGAGATATGGGGGGTGACTACTAATGGCAACGGTTTCTCTTAGGGGTGATGAAAATGTTCCAGACTTGATCGTGGTCATGGCTGCACAGCTCTGTAAATGTATTTTTAAAAACCACTGAATTGTACACATTAAATGGGCCAATTATATAATACGTGAATCCTATCCCAATAAAAATGTTATTTTTTAAAAAACGGGGCTAACAACCTGCTTCAAGGACTACTGTGGTGACTAGATACTGTGTCTGCCTCACAGCAGGCACCCATCAATATTTGAATGGGGAACTAGACTGCATTTTGCACACCCAAGGAAAGTCCCATTTCCCCTCAGATTTCTGCTCTGGGCTCCCCTCACCCCCCCCAGGGAGCATCCCT